TCAAATGCGATTGCTTACGTATTTCCGACATTGGAATCTACTTTACCATGGCATGGTTTAATTCCACCTCGAATCCGATAGTAGGTTCCAGAATGTACAAAAATGAACACAAATCTGGAAGCAAACAAATGTGTTCGAGTGATTCCTAACCCTGCCTGTACAGATCGCACAAGGATTCGCCGTTAGTGTGAACACATTTTCGCGCTCGGTCGAAAGGTCATTCGGGATCGGAAGAGGAAAGTGGTGAGGTCTACAAAACATGGCTGTTCGTGTTTTGGTGAAATGTATTGTGATTGGAGTACTGGTGATGTTGGTGATCATGTAGGGATCGGAGTAAATGGAGAGTTTGAGTCAGTGACTTCTGTGCGTACCGTTTGTGCGCGAAAAGGCGAAAGCACATCGCCTCAATGGTGGTTAATTTGTGTAAGCGCACTGCGCTAGAGGGGTTGAGGTGTACAGGATGGATAACTCTGAACGCGGATTCCGGTTTAACTGAATGGCTTATGAACACGAGTATACATTTGTATAACCGTGAAGAGAAGTAAAAAAAGTATTGAAGAAGCAGAGAAACAGGACACTAAAGTGTCAGTTAGAGAAAACCATATTCAAAACGCCAACTATTGAACAACTGCATGTGTGTAAAACTTATAAACCAGGACACGAGAAGGCTGAAAATTGCTGTATGATGCACAACTTTGTTTCACCCTCGGTTGGTAGATATGGACACACAAATTGATTGAAATGTTCATGCTAACAGATGAATGAAATCAATTAGAAGGCTTGAACGTCAAACGTAAAATTAATAGAAAATATTTCGCACACACCAAATAACATTTACGGAATCTGACTTACATTTACTATCATGAAACATGAACACAAAAATAATCCGATTTCAGTGGAGGACGTGATTATCAGTGTTGTTATAATCATCATCATAATAATAAATGAAATGAAATATATCCGTATAATAATAATAATAATAATAATAATAATAGTAATTGCAAGGGTTGGAAATGACTATGTATTCGATCTGCTGAGTTCCATCACTTTGACACCACTCCAAATTGTACCTTCAGCCAATCAGTTGTCATTTGGGCAGCTACCGTTGGATTTAAGTTCTCCCACGTAATATCACTGCCGTTATATGAAACGTTCGTCGTATAAATGAGGTGTAAACTAAAAAGCTACGAAGCACTGGATAGTTTTTTCTACTGGGTTGGATTTCATCAGCATTGCGAATCTATCGATCCAACTGGGGATCAAACCAGAGACCTCAGGAGTAGAATGCAAGCATCCCACTCACTCGGCAACCAGGCATTTGATCAGACCGTTCCTCATGTTCCCTATAAACCATATAGCACAACCCATCTTTGCGAGCTCACTCTAGGCATAACATCTTGCTCATCTCTGCGCTACCCTCCACGCTTATGTCTCGGTTGGAAATACTTCAATCCGATTTCATGTTCCATGATATAAGTGGCGGATTGTTTTACCCATATGATGAATTTTGTAGTGTAAAGAGTAAATGAAGCGTAATGTAACTCGCTATAGTGCAGTGGACAGGTGTGTTTGACCTGGTTGGCTCTCATTAGTAGTGCAAATTACATGGGAACTAAACACCTGACCTCACAGGTAGAACGCAAGCATGCTACCCACCGAGAAGCTGATCAGACCGGTTTTTCGTTTTCCGTTTACATGATATAGCACCAAATCTTTGAGATCTTGTTGCGGGTATCAGACTTCGCTCATCTCAACATTGGACTCCAGAACGTTCACCACCTGACTGCTAATTGTTTGAGCTTAATGCGTCATTTGATATTCTTCTAGTTGGGTGCAGAGCTTAAATCCTTCGCATCATGATGTTTCCATGCCTGCAATGGTCTGTCTCACTTGTGACAAAGAATCTTTGGTGTATTGGTTAACATAAACAAAGTGTTACACTGAACTGTTTCTCTTTGTCGATGTATTTATCTGGTTTGGTAAGGTATTATGGTTAAACTATAACAATCTTCACTTAGATTTGCAGGTTTTTAAGATTTCTGCTAAATTAAGCTCACGCAGAAGCAAAAACATTTCAGCAGTGAGCATAAGACCTTTGATGTTGATTTGCATTGGAAATCAAAGAATAAATGAACCAAATAACAATTAAATTTAACAAGTATTTTCCGTTAGATAACTTTATCGTGGTTGACATTTTGAAAAACCTTCAGGTTCAAATAATGTTTATTGAGTTCAAAAAATGAATATGGAACAGTAAAAATTAGATCCTGCCAACAGATTAGCAGACTATTGAATGCCGTCAAACTTTATTTCGGACAGACCGCTGCGTGTATTCCTCCGTCATAAATTCACGATGCCGACATACAAGGCGGTGGTAGAAGTGACAATTGAGGATTTTTATTGGAGAGTCTTGCACGCATAATTAGTTTGACAGTCAAATTTGTATCAGTTGAATTTTATTCCCTTGATCGCTAGATAATGTCAAACTTTGGAGAACAACGGGGCACAGGGGAACAGCTAATTATTGAGGTGCCTCTATTGGTTTGTCTTCCAATCCGAATTTCGCAAACAAAATCGGTATCAGATCGTAAATGACGTAACGTCGGAGCGTTTTGATTCGTGTCACAGTTATGCACGGTAAAATGCAACTGGAAAGAACAATCGGAATGAGTCCAGTTTGTTGAGCAAGTGAGAGGATCACATATTGGTATGCACCAACGGAATCAAGCACATAGGTAATCGCATCGTATGCGTGACAAACAAGTAACGTGCCAGCCATCATCACTGTTGTCAAAGCAATCTCCCGCATGTGTCTACGCATTCTCCATTGTTCTTCCTCTTTACTTGTCATTTCCTGTTTTGCTGGCAGTTTGCCCAAGTTCCAGTGACTTGACATGTACACGATAACGGCAGTGTGTGTAGATATGATTACCGCTAACGGGATCACATAAACCACGATCAACCACGTATATTTTTCAGCAACTATGTACTGGCGAATAACGACACTTTCAACAGAGATCCCGAATTTGCATCGGCCGGAGATATAGTCTCGACTAAACAAATTAGGAATGAATAATATTGTGGCCGCAGGAATTTGGTATGCACAAGCAAAACAGACTAGGAAAATTTGACGCTTTTTGTAAACAAGTGGCAGAAACACTGCAACCGCGCGATCGAGAGACGCACAGACAATATTACACACAGACAAACTGATTCCGAGCCAAATCAAGTTATCCGAATACCACAGATAACAGAAAAACCTGTCCACATGTTCCACGCCAGTCACAATTTCCGGCCCGATAAGCTTGTACAGGAATGTGACGAAACAAGCAAAAGCGTCAAAGACGCATTGGAATTTGAGCAGCGTATTCGTTAGAAGAGATCCAATTTTAACTTGGAATAAGGTATAAAACACAAATATATTTAACAACGTGCCAAGAAAACCGCAGGTTGCAAGCACAATTCGAACGTTTGCCTCGGCTGATCCCATGGCACCATCAGGTGCAAACAAACTGCAGTCTGATGTATAGCTTTTCTTATCCTGCACTTTTAGTGATCAGCTTTGGACTCTGATCAGCCAATGAGATCCTGGGGGAATGAACTGTGTCTGTGTGTTGGAGATTATATTCGCTTCTGCAACTGATTACATTTTGTGATAACCCAATGTCGGATAATCGAAACCATCACGCATTGAAACGGGGCAGAAGTGAACGCTTGACCTTTTGGGAAACGTGATAAGCTGAGGGGTGAGTGCAGAGAAGAGGGCTGAACCTATATTCCTTGCGTGGTGTGCATACTGTAGTTCTGAAGGTTCCGGTAGGACTTTGGGGCTGTTTACGCATATGTTTAAAACGCGACATGTGCATGTTCTTTTACCGATCAGCGACCGAAACTAGCCCCACTGGATTTTCACCAGTACACATATGGAGCTTCTCGAGAGGGTATCTGTCAAAGTCGGCTGAACAACCCAACTAAACAAGAGCTTATACATGCACCTTTTATTGATAGACCGGTAAATGGAGCCCATGAGTACCACATGAACATTTGAGTGTATTAGATTGTATTTCAATAAACGATTAACTTGTCCATATATTTCGAAATTCTGTCGTACCATCTATGCTACTGCCTCACACAAACAAAATTATCTGGTCAACCATGGTTTTGTTATTAGCGAATAATCTTATTTCCGTCAATTCCTAATCACTTCAATAAATCAGAAAAATATATTAAAAATATTTCATGTAATAAAAAACCACTTCATGGTTAAACAATAAATGTAGGTGGGGTGTCCAAAGACCATGAAGTTGTTATGTTCATTATTCCGATCTTCAAACAGTCAATCGGTAAAGATCTTCCGACTTGTCACCCCTGGATGTCGATTTTGGGGAGTCAGCCCGTTACAGCCTAACTNCTAAGTTCATTAATTTCCCACACAAATGAAGTCCGAACCATATGTGTCTGGAAGGTGAACTTTCATCCACTCGTAACAACCGCGTTGTAAGATATAGAGCTAAAATACACTTTTCAGAGATGCAGCACAAAAGAAAGGCAAGAGAGAAAAGAGAAATATCCTAATACATTATTTTAGCTTCGCCACTGCAAAAACCAAAAAGTGAGATAGACAATGAACACTACTGTTTCTTTTAGCGGCGGTAGCAACATACAGAAAGAAATATCATTCTTTGACCCGTGAAATCCTTTAAAACAAGTATTTTCAGGCCGTCAAGAAAAATTGATTCTCACCAAGCGTCAAACAGTATAGCGAACAAGCTTGTTTTCGTAACTTCGTCTTCAGGCCCTTACAGTTATGTGTGCGTGTTTATATCTAATGTAGAAATAAGTGTGATCGAACCATAGAGGTTTCGTATGAAAATGCAACAATGTCTATCAAGTTTAACCAGGACGAGTGGANTAAAACGGGGACAGTGGACGAACGGGAGGGGGGAGGTCAATTCTGGAATTTACGGTGACCGTTTTTCATGTGCCATTTGGTACGCCATGTCGCGTCATCACGATACGACTGAGGTCATGGTTCGGGTCATCACGTAGGTTTGGTTGAGGCCAAGGCAGCTGAAGCGCGGCAACCATCTTCTTCTGTTTGCACAGTGGTGGGTTCATGATTATAATTGCTACAGTTTCTGCTTTTACCAAGGAACGTTTCCGAAGTTGCTTTGATTTGTTTTGGTATTTTGTAGATAACTTTGAATTCATCGTTGTCTGGCTGATGTCCGATATCAACGAGGTGACCCATAATCGCACTGGTTGCTGTTTTCTTGCAATCCGTTCTCAGCCAAGCCGGATTATGTTCTCGGATCCTTTGGGAGAGCTGCCTCATCGTTCATCCTACACAACTTGCCGACCATGTGCAATTGAAAGAATAAGTAATCATAGATGAGGAGAGGATGGACAGCTTCTCCTTGAGGTTTGTGCAGACTTGAGGCTGGCTTGTAAACATCAAACGTAGAGTGCCGGTTGGAAATGTTCGCGTAATAACTTTCTCCAGACGTCTTCTTAGTATATCGCCCCCTCGAATCGCCTTTGAACGGGAGCTGCAAGACTAGTTCTTTCTTTTTGCCGTGCTTGGTTTAGGCATTGTGAGCTTTTGCACGAGGTTCTTCTCAATGAACGGCTCCGGGCATCCGTTATTAAGGATTGTGGATTTGATGAATCTATGTTCTTCCTCCACTAGAACCTTGGAGCAGATCATTCCAGTTCTGAAGGCCAGACATTAGACTAAGTTTCGCTTTGATTTGATTGGGACGAAACTTTGAAAATGGGTGTATTGGCCGTGCTATGTTGGCTTTCGAAAAATAAAACGAAATAACTTTCTTCAGGTTGACGTCGAGGAAATGGAACGTATCCTCATTTTCTGTTCCCATCGTAAAGTCGATTGACGGATGAGCTCGGTTAAAGCGATCCAATATTATGTTTCATCATTAAGCTTATAACAGACGCCGAAATGCTTACAATCAACCACACACAGCTAAACCATTCTACGTAACACTCATTTATCTAAGACATGTTTATAGGGTCCGGAGGACTGGATCAAAGTCTTCTGTTCCAATCCGGAGCAACAGAGCCAATAGGGAAAAAACATAACCGATCACAAATCCTGAAGTTAGTTTCGGAGAATATTGTGTATCCTAAGCCCGAAGGAGTAAAAATATAATCTCCAAACGTTAAAAAGCATTATGAACTCGGAGAGGTCAGTAATGTTAAAGAACAAGAACAAAACCGAGGCACTGTTTATATTTGAACTATAGCAAGACGAGAGTTATAAATAAAAAATGTGACGGCGACCGACAACCTCAAAGCAGAAGGAGAAATGGACACTTGGTGGTGCCTAGCAAAGGAAAACGAGGTGTACACTTTTAACTGAAATGTAAGCATATATGCTTACACAAGTTATACAAATACAAGTACAAATTTAAAATTATTTAGAGAAGGCCAAGAGTGTCAATGTTTGCACAACGGTACCCACCCACGTCCTACATCGTCGGCGTATTTGCAAGGAACAGGAAGATCTTTGAAACAACAAAAAGTTATAGACAGTAAAGAATTCTGCAAACAGACAATGAAGGCGATATTTACCGTTATATGAAGTGAAATGGTCTCTATTTAAAAGTGTTTATAGAAAAATCCAATATATAATTTTTTGGACTGCAGTCTGAAAGACGTTGAATGTGTATTCAGCCAGCAAGCGATTGGAGGGTGTTCTGTTGCAGGAGTTTCAACTAAATAAAATCAAAGCTATCGCCGAAGTAGAATACCTTAGAACACACCAGTCTAAAGGCATCAAACATAGATACCGGTCGTTTGTAGACACAAGGAAACGACAGTTTTTTTTCACACAGTGTCATTCGAGTTCACTGGGTTTTTTTACAAAACTTTCAACAGCACAGATATAGAAGCAGTTGCTCTCCAATTTGTATCCCTTTTGATTATATGTCTTCTCTGTGTATGTATATCCTAAGAAAGAGTTTCAACGCTGCTATAAAATTACCTTTTGGTCTCTTAACGTCTTACTTGACTTGACCTCATGCTAATTCGTTTCGGGTGTCATATTTCATTACTGAAAAAATCGATGACTTTTGAACATCTCGGAACATGCCAGCCACATCTTTAAGAACATATATAACTTGAGCTGTTCACATCTTGACAGGTTACAGGGACTCGAAAATAGGGAGAACTTGGCATAGAAACTCATTGAAGTACGTTTAGAAAAGCTCTATGGAAAACATTTGTTTCTAGAGAATTCGGAAGATAATGAAGAAGGATTAAGGTGATTGGTTTTATGATGAATTCCAGGGTCTGTGTACATTTTGCTTCAGTTACCAGTTCTAACAGGAACTTGCCTGTTTAAAACCCAAGATTACTGATGCCCTCAATGAATATTCTTCGGTAAACCTATCTCTGTAGTCTGGTTAGAAACCACCGCGTCCTCAGACTAGAATTCTTGAGGTGCACATGTTTGGAAATACCGAGATGTTTGATTAAGAGGAGATCGAATAGGGACACAACAGCACAGCGTTAACCAATTTATATCCGGAAGTGGTCGTTTTCCCCACTGTGTACATACTGTAGACGAAAAATATAAACGGAACTACATTCAACTATGTCATGCGTCACACCATAAAAACTACCCTAATTTAAATTGTGCATAATGTTCGCGCTGCCCTAAACGCAATGTAAAATGTAGGAATTCTGAGAAGTTGTAGTCTCAAATGTTTTTTCCACACTTAAAGCTGTCGCTCTCCATCGTTTTTTTTCAGTGGAGTCAATAAACTGTAGCAACTGAGTGGTATCCACTTCATTCACGTTGAGGTAATGGTTTTGTGACTAAGTCGTTAGTTTCTACTTGGTTCCATAAATGCGAACAAGTGAATTCAATATCACTTTGGTAACTTCATATGAGTGTAAAGTCACATGAGTCTGGATAATGTTGTACTTGAGCGGGTTTTACTCCGTAGAATGATTCCCGTAATTGATGAAATTTGACTACGTGATTTGGGCGACGGATAGCAAGGAGCACTGGGTAGTGGTTTGTTTCTTGCTGGGGCAAAAGCAAAGCGAAGTATACTTTCGCCCAAGTAGTAACACTTATGGTAGTCGATAATGGCGTTGTGTGAGCTATCACTTGGATGGTTTAGCTACCAATATCATAAACATTTCAAACAGGAAATCATGTAGCCTCCTATCAGGCTAAATCGGTTGCACGTTTTGCAGAACAATCCACCTTAATTCAACCAGATCACAGAAATGATCGAAGAGAAATCCAGCTTTGTACGCAGAGAGATCAGAGCGACGCAATTGATAACCCTTCCGGTTTTCTCGAAGAACGGGGGTAAACTCCCATCGGGTACATGCATGCATTGCGCTATGTCTCCAGTGCTGCGGAATTAGCAGCTTCACGACTGTAAAAAACCTGTCGAAATGAATAACCTCCCCCTTGAGAAATCATATCTTTTATTTCCCTGTTCGATGTGTCAA